GATCTTGTGGGATTCTTTTCGGGGTCGTGGCATGAAGATCTTGGTCGAGGTCCTATATACAAGTCATTGTGATAAGCTCTTGTGGAGATCCTAGTGAAATGCTGTCAGAGGCCTTTGGTCTTGTGCAGGTCCCTTGTGAGAAGACCTTGTGGAAATCCTGTTGAAACCCTCCTCTAAAGGTCCTTGCAGCAAGATCTTGAAGATGTTCTGCGTTGGTGCTGGTATGAAAATTGTGCTGGGATGGTCATAGGAAGTTTTTGTCTGAAGATCTTGTGAGATCCTCCATATAGAAAGTCCTTCTTTGATGATCGTTTGAAATTTTCCTAGATGTCCTGGTATGAGGTTCTGGTGTGAGGCGTGATGACTAGATATAGCGTTGCTTCTTGTGCCAAAACAAGTTCCTGCTGCTGCAGTTACGAGAATGTTCAGCCTGATTTGTTTCTGTTCCATAGCTATTGTTGCTTGTATCTGCAACATTGATCTCCTGGCCCCACACTATTTGGGATCTCTTGCTGGTGTAGGTGTTTTTGTTTATACCTCTCCCGGATGGAGTCTTCACGTCTCAGCAGGCGGTTGCAGCGCAGGATAAGAATGACTGGCCAACCTTACAACTGATAGCTGCACTGTGCATTGCCCCGTGAGAGTTTTGATTTTTTGCTTCTCAACTTCATTCGTGCTCCGAGGTTCAAATGTCTGGTCAGATAAGTGCTAGCGGAAGTGCTGAGACAAGTGCCCAGAAGACCTCGCCCTTTGGAACTGCACACCCGATGGCCTCACCCTTTGCGGCTTCGGGTGCTTCGTCTGCTTCTCCCTTCGCAGCTGCTTCAACTGTTTCAGCTGCACCAGCTGCACCGGCTGCCGCCAGACCTTCAGCAGCCTCTCCTTTCGCTGTCACTTCAACTGCGTCTCCTTTTGGGCCAAGTGCACCTGGAACCGCGTCTCCGGGCCCGTTTGCAACGGGGAAGACCGGAGATTCTGGAAGAAACGTGTCACCTTTTGCAACTGGGCAAGTGTCTTGGAAAAAGCAGACGTTCAGCCAATCGAATTTCGAAGGCCAATAAAACCAATATAACCAATGCATGAACTGTTTCGTTGGCTTTGTGAAGTTTTGTTATGTTTGTTGGCTTCTGGGTTCTGAACCAGGCACGGTCGACATCGCCGTTTAGCCAAGTTGCCTCACCATTTCAAACTTCGTCATCCTGGCTTGATTTGCCTAGTTTCCGCACATCCCAAAACCCTAAGTCCCTAAGTCAAGAAGAATTCGTTGGAAGTTGGTGGCTGGACCGGCTGGATTCTGTGGAGATCTAGCAATCTACCATACACACAAAAGATCTAGAGTGCAAGAAGGATTCAAGAAAATCCTGGATTTGGCAAGAACTCACGTGATCTGTGGGCAGTTGCGGAGGGCAAAGGCACGCATACTCAAATTTGTGACGAAACAAACGGATAGAACTGAAACAACTCAGCACTTTGAGCAGGTAGTGATATTTTGTTTGGTTTGGTTTTATTGCCTTCTGAGAAGATGGATCAAGAATCAATAGTTTAAGTTCCTGTAGTACTGTTTCTTGCACATAGTCTTTCGAGCCGGCGCTCAAGTAGAATGAAGCTGTCAATAGGTCCGTCAAACATTGACAGACGGCAGTGGGCTTCGTTGCAGGTCCTATGCAGGGGCTCCTTGTGCCAGAGCCTCACAGCAGCAAAACGTGCAAGACAGTCTGACAATCACGTGGAATGTAGCACACCATCTCCTGATCCTCGCACGTTGTCAAGTTCTCGTTTTTTTGCATGTAAACAATTCTCTGACCTGACGTTCCCTTTGGCCTTTGAAGGTTGTAATATAGCAGACAGAGTTGCCATGTGAATCCTCCATACACGTTGTAGATGTCTTTGCAGACTTTCTCATTAAATTCAAATTTCCCTCTCAGCTTCGGAGGAAGTGACACTGTTGTTTTGACACTGTTGTCTTCACATGTGTAGACAGGTCTCAATAGCCTCAATTTTCACAGATCTCTGATCTGTTGAAGTATTTGCCTTCAGGTCGCAGGGTTGGAGCCCATCATGTTGAGGCGGGTTTGGAACCTCAACGGCCTCAACACGACTTGTACGAAGAGTCTGGGATTTTCAGTTTCACTTCTTCAGAATATTTCATTCTCCCTCACTTCTTATTTCACAATTATCCCTCAGATTTTTGCCCGTGCAGGCAACATGAAGAGCGGCACCTTGATGGAGAGGTGCTGCAATCTTTTGGAAGGGACTGTTTCCAAAAAGGTTTGATTTGAATCCACTCCGGTCCAAGTTTTGATCCAAAAGTATACAATGCAACAGATAGCCTGGAAGGCTGGAAAGTAGTTTTTTTTTTTTCGTAGAGATGCTGAAAAGTTGATCACGCTGTAGCCGGAAAGGATCACTGTCTCCCATGGTGCTGTCATGTTGATCGCTGACGTAGTGCGATTTTTCACTTCACGCTGTATGTAGCATGAGCATTGTCTGAGAACAACTTTGCTGTTCAACACTAGTAGATGAGAAGGTTCTGGAGGGTGGGCTGAGCTGTGCAAGAGTTTGTGATTCTTACATATTAT